CATTGATTTAAAAGGTCTTGTCCTGCCCACACTGGGCAGACCTGATGGTGTGGAGAAGACTTGATTAGTCAACATTTGCTGGGCTGTGGGACTCAGGTAAGTAAAGGTGTTCCTCCTCCCAAGAAATTTCTTTTACACATTGCTACCTCCCAAAAGGAAATCTGATTAGACTACTCTAGACTGAGTGAGAATGGGTGTTTCCAGTGAAGAGAGAGGGGAAGTGTTGGGCAAAGGAGGGTAATCAGGAGCTTGTGGATCTAAAGGTAAATACATTCAACTTTTAAGAGGAACAGCTCCCATTGAATCCTGAGATGAATGAGGCCGTCTTGTTCTTCTGTCCAAGGTAAGCTGTTGCAAAACTGGTAACAGAATGTCAATTCAGAACATCACCCAGCAAGCTTGCAATGAGACTCAGGGATCCCTCAGCATCTCAGATGTCCTCAAGATTTGTGTGATTGTGGTGGTACTGTGAGTTACAATAAGGGTGAGGACTTAGGAACTTGAGACTACGGGACAGCCAGAGCTTGACCATCCAGTAAGGAATCATTTCAATGTAACAGAGGAAAAGAGATTTAAGTAACTGATGACCTCTAAAATGGGGGAAACAAAAGGTCTCCCACGGGATTGATAAAAACTGTGATTTAAGGGATACCCCATAATCATCTTGCCCTACCTTAATATGGAGTTTTAGGATTCAAAATACAGGAAAAGGATGATAACTTCTAATTTCCACCAAATGGAAGATTTAAAAAAAGACATATTTTTAAATGGAGCACTCGGGGTGTCTAACATTTATCATTCAAAAATGTCCTTCCTAGCCAATGATTAACTGTTTATTTTGTGCTGAAGTAGTTATTGTATTGAGGAGAGAGGATTAGGATGGGATAGAAGCTCCACTTTACTGTTGTTTGTTGTTGTTGTTATGTGCCGTCGAGTCGCCTGCGACTCATAGCGACCCTATGTACAACAGCCCTAAACTCCGCTCTGTCCTGTGCCAATCGCACTGT